ATTACCCAGCAGATGAAGAACCAACAAAAAGAAATATCTTTTCTTCTCCACAAGCACAAATGGCTATTATCACTATCCTCCATGATATTAAAAAAAAAAAATTACTCTCAATGGATTAAAATCTTATCAGAGAAATAAAAAATCCCAGCAGAGAAAGAGAAACAATAAAAAACTGTTAACTGATTCAGCCAAAGAACATCAGTTACTGGGTGAAAAGACCACAGGATATTCACATAGTCTCAAAGTTATCATCTCACAGATTACTTAACAAATGCAAACAGAAAAAGGTACCTTTAAAAGGGAGGAATCTGGCAGACAACATCTAAACCAAGTAACTGGAACTCACCATTACCAGTAAAGGGACAAACATGTATGTGATACAATGTATTATTACTGTACTGTAACATTACAATTTTTCTATAGGTTTGAAAGATATTCCAAAAAGTTAGAGGGAAATACAAACAAAAGGAAAAAATGCCAAAAGGCATACTATTATAAATCAGAGAGGGGAAGAATTAAAACAGCTGTCTTGGGATCTATGCACATCCCTTACCAGGAAGAAACTGAGGGAAAAGTAGGTGATGGAGTTTAATCTACTTGTTAATATGCTGATAACTGGTTCTCCTGGTAATTATGCTAATGATTTTTGTTAGGAGGAAAGTCCTTATCTAATGAATGCTCTCAGTGAGATGTCCTGTTGTTAAGGATGCTTACAGTAAACTAACTCCGAATCTATGAATTTATGAGGGATGGCACATGGGAGAATATCATGTAAGCTATACAACCTTGGGGTACAGAATGCATAAGTTTCAAAATCTAAATGCTCGCTTCTATTAGGTAATACCTAAACTTCCTCATTTAAATATCTCATCTACTCTGTGCCAGAAAGTACATGTCTGATGCAGAAAGGAAGGACCTATGGAATCATGGAGAGTCCTAAATCTCTCCTATGTTCACCTATGCCTTCTGATTGCATCTATCTTTGAAACTATTAGTAAAGCTGGATTCTAGGTAAGATCTCTAATATATGAGTCTGATTTGATGATATGATTCTTTGGATTGGCTTACAAATAAAAGATGAAACTATCAAAAATAATTACAATCTTAGAACAATAGTATTAATACTATTACTTTAGTAGAATAAGTGAATTAAATGTTAATTTGACACAAATAATTAACACAGTATACTTTCAGGACAAATAAGGCATCTTTTACCCTATGGCAAATTTCTTTTTAAGCATTCATAATGGAAAAAACTTAACAAAATCATAGTATGTGAAATTACAGAGAAAAATCTCAATAAATTTTTGAAAAGCATATATAACCTGAAATACCATAAAATTCTAATTAATATATGACTATATATGACAAACATGCAACCAAGGGGGCGTGTGCAGTCTAGAACACGTCTAAATATGTCCTTTAAGTTAAGATTTTGCCCACTTTAGAGTTGTGAAGTTCAAATGATATGATATACAGTCGACCCTTGAACAACATGGGTTTGAACTGCATGGGTCCACATACACGAGGATTTTTTTCAAGAGTAAATACAATAGGACTACACAATCCAGGACTGGTTGAATCTGCAGATGCAGAACCACAGATACTGAGGTCCCACACTAATTTATACCCAAATTATTACCCAGATTTTCAACTGTACAGAGGGTCAGAGCCCCAAACCCCATGTGTTCAAGGGTCAACTGTAGTTATATTACTTTGATAATGTATTACTTTACTTTATTTTATATAATGCTTCTAAAGATCATAATCTACACCGTTTTCCTATCTGTGATCCACTAATGACAACCATTTAGAAACAGGCCATGATGGAGCATGAGATAAGGCAATCCTAACAGCTGATAAAGCTCAAAGGATGCTTTTAATAATAGAGAGTAGAAGATGTAAAAATAGAAAAAAAATGCAACAAAAGGTGAAAGAGGTTTAAAATAGAGAAGTAAAAGGTAGCAGGCAGAGCAAGATCTCACATGATATACAAATTATCACTGCATAGGAATATTCAGCATAAGGAAAATTAATGGCCTCAGAGAGGAGAAAGTAAAAAAAACAAAAAAGAGGTAACTGGGTATATTTAGCTGTAAGGAATTAAAGAATCTGAAAACTGGTTACACATCTTTGGGTCTTTTTTCCCTAGTGGGCAAGTTTCACGCTTATTATATCACTTAATCCAATCTTTAAGAAAGTAAAGACTAGATATATTTCAGAAGTTCTCATCTTAATGAAGCAGCACCGTGAAATAGCTAACAGTATCAGCTTTATAATTAGTTACAGTTAGTTCACCACCTAACAACTATTTGACTTTGAACAAGCTGCTGAACTTCTCTAAGCCTCAGTTTCCTATTCTGTAAGATAGGGATAATAATATCTATTTCATGAGATAGTGAATATAAAACATACAATATAGTGCCTGGCACGTAGTAAATAATAAAAGCTAGTTATATTACCTTTATTGTTGAGAAAAAGATTTCTTGGACATTTTGATTAACTTCACTGTATGCTTTAATTTTACCATCTCTTTCTCTAGCTAAATAACTTAGGGATCTGTAAAAGTCAATAAGCTACTTTAATCTCCAAAGAAAAAGGAACTGTTTCAAAAGGCAGGGTATATACTAGTATCAAAGTTAAAAGTGTGAATACTATTAGAAAAGGTAGCAAAGATTTCTTTCGTATTTATACATTACAGTCTATAAAACTGGAATCTTTCATTTTATAGTATCATAAAGATCAGGCCATTTTTTTTCCCTTGGCCAGAAAAAACAAACTCCCATTTCTAAAAATATATCAGGTTTTCTTCTTAAGGAAGTCTTCTTGCAACAAAATACCCTATTATCATATAAAGCAAGTATAGGACAGTATGTCATGAACAAGACTAAAAATGTAATGGTATATAAGCCAAGGAAAAAATTCATTTGGAAAAATGAGTAAGAAGAGGTTTTTCTCCAAATTTAATTGAGACTGTGAGCTTTCTGTTTTGTGACTATTTCTTTGATACTCCCATGTACACAATAAACACTCCCTTAAGAAATTACAAATGACCTTTCAATTTAAAAAAGTGCTTTATGTATTTGCTTCTTTTAGAAAAGTAGACCAATTTTGTAAAAGAACCACGGATGAAGAACGAAATTTGACATGTAAGGAAAGCAAACATATAGACTTACTCTTTTTCTGGTTTTTATACTTAGATTTAATCCAGTTTTTAAATACCATTACAAAAAGGAGTTGAAGGCAGAGTATCCAAATAAACCACGCTAACCACTGACAATAACTCAAGGAATATATATACTATTAATTTTATGAATTCAAGGACTATACCAGGCTAGGAATTTTAGCTTTATATGAGGCAACAATTCCATAGTGGTCTTTTATAAACACAAGGAAAAACAGAAACAAAACAAACAAAAACAATGATCATGACACAGTAATCTTGTAAACCTGTGAACTTTAATTATCACTGAGTCTGATTTTCTACTGCAGATGAGGTTTAAGAATTACAGAAAATAAGTTTCATATATAGATAAAATAGGACAACTTTTCTTTCTAATTAACTAAATTAAATTCATTATTGAGTTATGGAAGGGAAGTATTTTAAAGATTAATGAATACCTTTTCTTCCCAAACTCCTGATATACTGTACATAGGCTTATTATATATAAGCCATCCTTTCCATGGTAAAATAAAATCAGCAATTATATGGTAGCTCAAAGCCTCTGAATAATTTAGGACTACAAAAATGACTATTCAGAAGAAATTACAGGGAAAAATTTAGGTAAGGAATGTAATTTAGTAAGGAGCTTGGTTAAGAGAAAGTGAAAGACAACAGCATAACCATAACTTCCTACCTTAGTGTTATCCTCAAAAACAAAAATCTCTAAATATTTTATTTCTCACAGGAATTTTATGGAAAAAAAAGAAAAAGTCTAAATGTGTAATACAAAGTGATACAAATAATAATTAAGAGTCAAATACAGAGTATTTTGAATGAATGACTGGACAACAAGGGTATTAAAACTTAAGAGATATCAAATGGATTCCATGAATTTTACAGTCCTGTGAAAATAAACTTTAAAAACCCCCACAAAAACCATACCTCACACCAAAGAATCATGTCCTACATCGGTTTCTATTCAGATTAACTATTATAACTCTGTCTTATAGGACACTTTATCATCCTTCAAAAGGAAAAAATTGTGAGAAGCTTTGATAATCTAACTCAATTAAAATATTGTTAGAGATTTCACTTGCTCTTTTATCTATCTCAAAACTTAGAAGTTCTACCAAAATGTAATAGTCAAACATACATGCAAAATGACCCTGCAATTAAGGTAATTGCTGGTACCAAATGTTGTTTTTCAGTACTGCAATAAAACAGTCTCCCAGACATTTAATAGTATGTCATTTGGTAAATGAAAGTTTCCACAAAGTAAGAACAGAGAGAAGACCTAAAAATTATGCTAGTGAAGAGTTTGGCTGAAATAAAACAAAAATACGGATCATTTTGGTCCAATACTAATTTTATTTCAAGTTACTACAGAGCTGAATAAAGTGCTGACAACACCACACAAAAATTTATTGAGTTGGCAATAGGCAAAGCATGATGTCAGCCACCAATATCACCATCCACATTACCAAACAGCATGAACTTAACTTCGACTTGATCTTAACTTAGACTTCATGCCTAAAGTTACAGTAAAAATAAAAATCTTAGGTATGAAGCATTATTAAACATAGATGAGTTTAGTTTGGCATAGTTTTGACTCAAATTAGTCTAGTACTTTAAGAACTTCAGTAAAAAACATAGAATAATGCAAACAAACATATTACAATTTTCTAAACGTGCTACATTCTTCACCAAACAGACCCACACAAATAAGTCTTGGTCAACTCACGATTATATTCAAATAAGTAACACCAAACACACACAGAATGCAGGCTGACAGGAGACATGGAAACACACATATATACACATCCACACAATTTCTTACCTTCATGGCATGAATTTCTTCAAGCAATCGTTGTGCTCGTCTTTGGTTTTTCAACAGTGCATCTTTGGTACCCCTGCAAAAGACACATTATAATATGTGGCCAGAAAAACCATTTATTTTAGACTAGTATCATAATGAAAAGTCTCTCCATTTCTTTTAGAAGAGCTTAATAACTCTCTAAGTAACAAACATTCTGTTAACCTGCACTGCCCTCTCCTGCATCCGACACGTACCCCAATTCCATCAACAAACCCAAGCTTTTGGCAAAAATAAGCACTGTCCAGGTATTATATTAATGACTATTACCACTGATAGACAGTTTGCCTTCTAATTCCTTAATGGGAAAGCCAAATAATACTTTCTAATCAATTGATTAATAGCACATTGTATTTCATGTAAGTTTTATAAGCTACAGTTAAGTTTCATAAGCTACAAGGTTGGATATAATTTTATTAAATGACAACTGTTCTCTGGAATTAAATAAATACATAAAGATGTTAAATACACGATTATATCAGAGAGAAGGGCTATCTTATGAAACATTTACAAAAGAAAAAACAAGAAATTAATCAGAAACAAAACACATTTGAAGACTTTGTAAGTACTCATGCTTAAAGCATAAGAACTATAAATAACATACTTTTTCTCTAATACTAGTGATACCAAAAATACAAAACATTATTTTTTCAAAAAAATTAAATGGAACACAATGTTTTGATAAACACTTCCAAAAGGCCCTAAAGATTTCAAATTAATTACCAATTCAAGGAATAAGGTGATATGAAATCTTTATAACTGATTAAAGGTATCACTTGATTTGTTAAACTATATCAACATCTTAAAAAAAAACCACTAATAACATAAAATACATGAATAACCCCGAAGGATTTTCACTTTGAAAAAGCCACAAGAAGAGTTTTGAGAAAACAGAATTTATCATATATTTTAATTGAATATGGTCCAAACTATGTAAGGACATGCTGACAGAGCACATTTTCTCTCACTCAGATCCTATCTACATATAAAACAAAGTGCTGTATGAGTAAGACATTTAATTACTCCTCTAGGTCCCACCCTCAAATTTTGTAAATACTGAATAAAGACAACTTTTGACATTTTATTAGTCATAGGACCATGACTTTAAATGACTAACTTTTTTGACTTCAGTCTGCCAACACTCCTGACAAGTTTTCGGATAACCAAAACTCGGATTCTCTTCACTTCTTTTCTCATCTTCACAACCTTCAAGGAATAAAGCCAAAATTAGAGAGATTCTTAATTCAAGAAGAAACATACCTTATTTTGAGTATTAATATTATAGTATAAGTCTACCACTTTAATCAAAGCTTTATTTAACTATATTCATAGTTTGATGAAATCAAACTTCTTCCATAAACAGTGAAGGAATAAGAAATCAACATTCTAAATATGCGTCTGAGGATTTAGGAGAAACAACTTATTAAAAAAAAAAAAAATCACAGCACTCCCAGTGGCTAGTATTTTAAATTACACTTATATCTTGTTGGGCTTGGAACATAATAAATTGTGAGCTCCCTGACATCAGAGACCACCACATTTATCTTTGAATCCTTGTGGTTTAAAACAAAGCTTCACCCGTAATTGTAGGAATTTAATTTACTGAATGGACATTTGTATTAACAAAAGCAAATGCATGAAAGTGACTTTATTTTACTTGTTTTTAGCACACCCCTTTTATTTATATTCAGTAACAAATTATTTCAAGCATAACTCAAAAAACACAAGGGCACACACGCAGGTGCACACACACACACACATTTAAATCGCCCCATTACAGAACAATGCTGAGGTCTAAGAACAAAAAAACAGAATTATTGGCCAAGAGATAGAAATATTCCAATGATAAAGAACCCCATGTTATAATAGTACTTAGTGCAATGGGATGCTATTGAGTTTATCTTTTATCTATCATTGTTACGAGGCATACATCTTATAATTCCTCCTGTAATATCCTTCACCCCTCCTCCACTTCAGGAACTACATGAAATTCAGTTCAGAGATAATCGCTCCGGTGAAACCTTCAATGACTTCTTCAGTTAGACAACCATTCCATCCTTGGAGTTCCCACTATACCTGTAGGTAGCACCTACCACTGTACTGTCACTAACTGCTCATGAGGCTGTCTTTTTCTACTGTCTAAAATCTCCTGAAGGGTAGGGGCCTTGCAATATTTACATGTTTTCTGTGCCTGGCAAGAGTGCTTAGCACACATAATCCTCAAATTCTTCTTGCCAAAATAACAGTATCAACATCATTCTGTTTTTACAAGGCTCTTGTATTTAGCTGTTACCTCTTACCCTTCATTAATATCTTTCACCCCCTTATCATTGACAATATTGGCAACCAACTTACAATTTCTCTCCACCCTAAGTTTTGCCATTATTCTGGGTGATGTAGGTGTCTACTTGAATAACCCACCCCAATATTATATCCTCACTTCTTGACTTCCTCCTTTCTAATGACCTAATCTATTCTATCATAGCCACCCACTTCCAAGGTCACACATAGTTCTAGTCATTGCTCATAACTATTCCATTTCTAAAACCATCAATTCAAATACTCTGCACTGAGATCACAACTTCTTTCAGCTTGCTTGTTCAACCCCACCCACCATAATGGTCTTCGAGTTTACTGGAACCACTAGTTCACTGACCCCTATACATTCTCTCAAATGATTAGTCCTTTTCTTTTTAATTTTCCTTCTCTTATCCAGTTTAAGTACATAATCAACACTTGCCAATACCTTAAACTCATCCCTCTGGTTAGCAATCCCTCTAGTGAACCCTGGATAAAAACAACATTCTGAGTTCTTTTATCACAGTACCCCAAGAGCCAGGGAATATCTGAGGCATTCTATCTACTAGATATTCATCATAACTAACCTCAAATGGGTCCTTACACTTCCTAGCAATCCTATTATACATATATATTTTGGTCAATTCACTTTATAATGACTATTTTAAATCTGTGTCTGCTTTCCTAAAACATCTAACCTTTCTCCTCTCTCTTTTTCAATTTCATGGAGAAAATAAACATCAGATGGGAAACATCGTCTTTCTACTACCATGAATGTAAATTTACTTGCATCACCCATCCTCCTTTATTAATAAAGTTACAATATAAGAAATATCCCTGAACTTTTCTGAGGCTAATCTTTTAACTGTATTTTGGATCCCATCCTCTTCTGCCTTCCTATAACCCTTACTACAAACTATCCATTTACTCTAGCATTGTCAATCTCTTAAATGGATGTTTTCCACTAATCTTTAATCATGTTTGAGTCATTTTCATTAAAGAAAAGACAAACAAAACATCTCAGTACAAAGTTCACTAGGAGCACCCTCTCTCAACTGCCCCAGAGTCAAGCTTTTAGAGATGTTCAAACTCACCATCTCCTTATCTGCATGCCACATAAAAATTCCCATCAGTCTACTAAAAGCTGTCAAAATGATTTCTAGAAGTCACCAATGATGTCTACAAGTCCCTGAATCCAACAAGAATTTTTCAGACTTCATTTTGCTTGAAGTCTCAGCAGCATTTGATACTGTTGAACACTTTCTCCTTCTTGAAATACTCTCCTTTTGGTTTCCGTAACAGAATACTATCCTGGTTTTCCTGCTTTCTCTCTAGCTACTTCACTTTGGTCTTCTGTGAAGGCACATCCACCTCTAATCAGTCTTGAACTGATTAGGCCAGCTCTTCTTTTCAAGATATACTTTTTAGCCCTAAGTGATCTTATGTGTGTATACAGTTTTAATTTGCCACCTAAACAAAGATGACTTGAAAATTCCTACCTTCACATGAGATCTCCACTTTAGCTCCAGACCTAAATGTGTAACTGCCTACGTGACATTTCAAGTATGCTTAAAAAATCACCTCCAACTCACACCTGAACCCATGTTCTTCACTCCCAACTGGATCCCTTTTTTGGTGTTTCATATTTAAGGGAACAGAACAATCCTTTCAGTTATAAACCTAGGCTCATTATAGGTAGCTTTCTTTTCTAAATCCCTCACAATGAATCTATTATCAAGTCCTGATAATTTTATTTCCTAATTACCTCTCAAATTGTACCATTTTTCTTCTATCTTGACTTCTTGGCTCTCTTGGCTGAGTTACTGGCAACTGTTTTCTCAATATCCATTCGTGCCCTTCTCCAATCAGGTACCCACAACTCAATCAGAATACATTTTTTAACACTTAGATCCAAATGCTCTTATAATGGTCACATGGGCCATCTTTTACTCCGTCCTCACCATGCTTATAACTACCACCAAATCTTTACACCTGCTGTTTTCTCTGATAGGACTGCTTTCTCTCCATGTTAGCTTAACATCTTATCTTTCTGATTTTGGCCCAACTGTCATTTCTCAATAAAGTGTCTCCTGGCCTCCCTCAGGGGTCAAAAAGTGCTTCTAGAATTATCATGACACTTATTTTAAGTTTAATATTTTACTTTTAATCTGATTATGCTTAATGTGTCTTTCTCCCACTAGGTTATAAACTCCACGAAGGTCAAATATCTGGTTTTATTCAACACTGCATCTTAACACCCAGCATAGTAGATGGCATACAATAAGTGTGTTCAATAAATATTTGTTAAGCAAATGACCAGAAAGGGAGCAATACTCACTTGTTCATTCACTGTTTCAAAAGAGTAATATAATAACAGAATGTAGAGTAATCAGATTTCCACTAGATATGTTAACCTCTTTTAAATTTGTTTCAAAGTTAGATCTACTTAGAAAAAAAATCATACTTGCATAAACAAAAGCCATTTAGACAAGGTTTAAGTGGAAAAATGAATTGCTACATTTCATAAGCAGCATAATAGGGGGTTATGATACATTTTTTGAAAGTTAAGTCATTCATAAAATAAATAGCAAGTAATAAATTATGCATTAAAATGTAGTAACAAATATTTCTAACTGCTGTAACCTGTAGGCGCATGACATGATTATATACTATTTGCTAACTGCTCTTAACCAAACTTGATTAATAAATTGCAGTGGGCAGAACTGGTCCTCAGTCACATTTCAATCTTGGGAAAGCTAGACTCCAATTTTAAAATTCCAATTTAAGAAGTACTATGTTTGTCATTACTGCATAAGGGAATTCTGAAAAGCAAAGGGAATGCTTCATGTATTTAGTTTCATGCCAATGCCAAAAAATGCTTTTCTAGCTTATTAACTTTTCCAGTATTTGTTAAGTTTAATATACTAAAAAAATAAGTATATTCACTTCATGTAAAAATGAAACTATTACTTTTATTTTCCTCACACTGCCTGCCCCAAACACCTAGCTTTCTCCAAGCATTTAAATTTATTTTTGTAAAACTGACAAACAGCTACCAGTAGCCTTTTAGTTAGGATTTAAAAGGTTGCCAATTCATTTGTTACCCAGGAATAATGAAGCTGGTTGACAGACAACCCAGATGTCAACAAACAGGCCTAAAACACTCAGTATTGTCAGAAGGCCAATGTACTGCTTAAGGGCAACATGCTTTGGTGAATTCTTCAACCAAAAGCAAATAGAACTGTCTTTGTTAGAAATGTGAAAAGAGTATAATATTGTTCAGGAGGAAAAGAAGGAAAGAGAAATAAAGTAAGCAAGGACAAAACAGGCAGAATAATGAAATGTGCTGAAAGAGAAGAGACAAAACGAAAAAGAAGTGGAAGGGAAGAGTTTGAAGTCAAAAATTGAAAGACAAAACTCTGTAGGTCATCATTACCAAGACTGATAAGCCCAAGCTGAGTGCTTCCAAGCTGCAAAATAATCCATTTAATAATCTATAAGAGGACAAGAAAAAGAGGTAAGACACACACATCCACACCCACACAAAATACATGCACTGAAAATGAGGTGTCGCCTAAAACCTAGGCATAGAGATGCCCTCAGTTAACCTGGTGAAATCTGAACACAGTAATGTAACCTGGATCAACTCTTAGGTAGACAGTGCAAAAATACAATCATAAATAAATAAAAAGCTAATATACCTGACTGGAAAAAGAACATGTGAACATATGGGCAAGAGTCAACTTAAAACACAGGAAAGGGAACCACAAAGAGCAAAAGCTGGCATTGTCTGAATCAAGAAGATTCCAAAGAAAGGTTCCCCAGCTCAAAGACCTGGGAACTCCAATTTCTACTGGAATAACTCAATTATGGGGACAGATGTATCACAGCCCAACACTGAATCATGC